CGGTTTTCGAGAAATTTCAGTCGTCAGCCGGTGAAAGTCCAAATCGTAAGACTGGGAGTAGGCGATCTGGGTCGAACATCTGACCGCTTCTGCAAAAGAGAGAGAGAGAAAAAAAACAATAAAGAATCGTATCTGAGCTCCGCGTTCCAACATTCATATATTATACAGCATGTTTTAAAAGTAGCTTTAAAACTTGAGGGCGTGATATTGGTGAACTGATAGGAGAAACATATAATTTCAGAACACAGAAATGTAGTCAAACACTTCAAGTTTTATGTCCATCGCATTTTTATGGTTCAATGTGACTTCCATTTGTTCTGTAGATTTCTTGCCACGCGCGGTGTAGCATCTCCGGTGTCACTTCAACAACTGAGGCGGTAATTCGAGTTCGGAGTTCGGCCACATTTGCAGGTAAGTGACACGTACACTCGATCTTTGACAAATCCCCACAAGAAGAAATCTAAAGGTGTTAGATCCGGGGAACGACGTGGCCGTGCTATTGGTGCGGTCCGACCAATCCACCGACCTGGGAAACGGTCGTTGAGGTACTCGCGTACTTCTCCGTGAAAAAGAAGGGGCCGTACACTTTATCTTTACTGAGGGCACAAAACACATTAACATTTGGACTGTCACGAACATGTTCCAAGAAACTTGATGTGTTTGGCTAAATTTGTGCATTTAAAAATATTGCGCACGTCCTTTAAATAAATTTATATTCTCCTGCGAAGTTGTAAAGCTACTTTTTGAAACACGGTGTACAAATATTGTATGTAGCAGAGACAGTTGAATCTGCTGTGAAGTGGACCGCCTTCGAACCCCGTGGTTTTATATTTTGTCTTCAGCAAAACAGTGTCTAGACGAACGATATAACAATAATTTACGAACTCTCAGACACGAACTGTACTGAAGTGATAAAGTTTTTCGCCCGAGATAATACCAACATAAATAATAGGATTCATAATAATTAATATCGTAATGATTTCTGCGTCACATTTCGGTTAGAAATCGAATACGACTGTAAACAGATCAGCTGCTCTTAATCAACAACTGACAGTCACCGTCTAAAGTTTCGACAGTGACGGTGTCGTAATCGGACGTTTTTTATTCGATTTAACTTCTGTTATGAGCTACAAGTTTGAAAAATTAGTAGCTATTAAATGGATTCATTTCTGCATGGCCTGAAGTACCGAGCGATTATATTTGGTGATCATTAATTTTAAATTTGTGCTTTCTTAACTGTCCTTCTAGAACTCTGTGAAGTTATAGAAGTTTATGCTGGAAAACATGTATAAGAGTAGAGTTTATATTAATGTTGTGAACTGTATCTAACAATATAAGTAAATTTACGTAAATAAGGACTGATAACTCAAAACGTGTTGAAACACGTAGCTTTTAAATTTACGTAAATAAGGACTGATAACAACTCAAAAAGTGTTCAAACACGTAGCTTACCGAGGCATTTATAATTAATCTTTAACCTGCAGTGTATCTACACAATCTGAGACATAGTAAGGAACATTATGAACCAACATTAAGTCGGCGGCTTTATGAAACCTTTGTCATTCTTGAATCACGCGAAATGAGAACGGGGTTAAGGTCACAGGACCGTGAGGACAGCCACAGGCCCATCTTATGGCGAAGTTGAGAATGAAGTGAAATGATATGCTGCAACCTTACCTTTCCTTCGTGTGGCGGCGCTGGCTGTCCGCGCCGGAAGTGAAAGGTTTCAGCTCCTCTGTGTCTGCACGTCCATATTCGAACCGGAATGACTTCCGGTCGGAAGGGGAGAAATCGATTACAGGAATATCTTCTTGAGACGTCTTTCTCAGTGCAATTAGAGGAACGCTCACAGCTATATCGATGGACTTTGAAGATTTTGATGGCTTTAGTGTCTCAGAATCGATTACAGGAACGTCGTCTTTGACCTCGCTGACCTTAACAACAGGAGAATCTGTAACTGCATCTGCGTCTTCGGAAGAAGTGTTCTTGTCTTGTCCAATCGTCTCTTCTGTAGGTTCTTGTATCGTCACCCCATCGTCCGAAGAAACAGTTGTTGGTGGCTCTGATTCTGTCTTCGGCGCTGCAGAAGTTGGCGACTGCGCTATGAGAACCTCTCCTCCAACGGGCGCTTTAGCGTTCTTGTCAAGGTCGACTTTGTAAGGCGACGCAGACTTCATCCCAGCGCTCGGCAGCACGTATTTGTGAACAGTATTATCATCACTCTCAACAGCAGACTGCTTTGCCCCATGTCGATTGGCGTTTCTCAACGGAGGTACTAGGTCTAAAAGACTTAATGCTCCATTATTTGGTATTAACACGATGAAGAAGTTCTCCAAATTCGCGTGGACGTTCAAATCGCCTTCCTGGCGCTGGTCGTACCGAACAGGAAGGCCTACTGCAGGTGAGGCCACAGCTAGCAGCAGTATCAGTGTGGTAACCGCGCAGATCTGCATGTCTATCCGTTCACTGTCAGTTTCTGAGCAACACTACAGCTGCATGCGGTCGATGTGCCCGGGGGGCTGCAACAGGAAGGTCAGGCCAGCTTCGCGTCGTTGTCAGGTTTCCTCTACGATCTCTTTCGCATCTGATCGAGATGCTGTCAGGTGCAGTTACATTTCTCGTGGTAGCCGTCAGCCTCTTCACGAGAGAGTCGTAAAGTAGGTCTTGGCCGACTCTTGTCCAAGCCAAACGTCGGGCTGTTACCCTAAAACAGACCACAAACGCTTTCTTCCAAATTCTGAGCCACTGGCCATTGAAGGCGTTCAAGGTGGTTCTTTAAATACGAGAATGTTGCATTATTTTATGACGCGGTTTCAAGCAAGGAGATTGCGAGGTTCGTGGAATTAGCGCATGGACATTCACCTGGCGGCGCTATTCGATTGTTTAACGACGCTTTCTTAAGTGCTTAAGAAGGAAATCTGGGACTGCGTGATGAACTGGAAAGGAAACGGCACTGTCCTGCTTGAAGGCACTGTTCCAACATTTACCAGAAAGGACTTAGGAACCTCGTGAAAGACTCAGGACACTCAAGCACGTGACAGCAGTGGGTGCTGACTGCTTACACAGGAAATTCGGTTGCATTGGACTCCTTTCTCAGCTCCCACAGCAAAAGAAAGGCGCAGATTTTGGGTGCCCCCGTTAGGGTAGGCCCTAGAATCAAGAAGGATGACTTACTAAGCCCCACAACATAAAATATCGACTCTTTAAAAACTGACTGGTAGCAGGTTCAACACCGACAACACCAAAGCCCGCCACCGGAGTCGATCCTGAGCTAACTCCATCTATCGATCTATCGATTATTTACGTGCGAGAAATCGACATGTGCTGAACTACTCCTTCAAAGTCAGTCATACTAGACGAGCTTAGTAATTAATATAAACAAGGATCCTTGGTTCTAGGGGGCTGAAAATGCAAACGTGATGTGAATAATATTTCAGTTTTCACCATTTTAATTAAACACACACACATGTTGAAGCATTTCTGTGTTATATTTTATTTAAGTTTTAAATAATTTGTTTCGTTCAATTTTTAATATTTAATAGCTGCATCACACACTCAGGAGTATTCTTAATATAAAATGACAAGACCTGAAGATGGTCTTCAGTAAACCGAATCATGTAGTGGACGAAATTAAAGCGGGAATTTGGAAACAAGCAGGACTGTTGCGTGGACGGATACTTTGAGTTTTTTTTGAAATTGTTACATTAATCATATCATCAGCTCCGCCGTTGCCTGTCCCAAGCCAGGATGTGAAACTAAAATTAATCATATGCACACAGAACAGCGTTAATAATAGAATTGAACCTAAAAGACGCGGAACCAGAGAAGAAAAACGGGAAGGTGGCAAGGCGAAAACAACAAATCCCGAAAAATCGAAAACCGTCGATCATTTATGATTGCGTTGATGAAAGCAACATATAAAATACGTCAAGATTTATCATTAGAGAAGAGAATGACGTCACTCGTCTTAATCAGACAAACAAATGACAATTGAAAGTTTGCAAATCGTGTTTCCTTCTTGTTAAATTTAGGTTATAATACTGTGTGGCATTTAGATTGAGTTTTGAATTAGAAAAGAACTTGTTAAGTTAATTAATGTGTGTATGGACGGGGTATCTAGTAGAGTACGAATAGGTAACCTTCTGTCGAATCCGTTCCCAGTGCACAATGGCCTCAAACAGGGGGATGCTTTATCCTCAATGCTTTTTAATTTTTCTCCAGGACATGTCATCAGGAAGGCCAAAGGGACTCCGGAAGGGCTTGAATTTAATGATTTGCACCAGGTGCTTGCCTCTGATGATGATTTCAATTTACTGGGGGATGATGTGGGTACCATAACCAAGAATGCAGGAACTCTCCTACAGGCTAGCAAGGAAATAGGCCTAGAAGTAAATGTAGACAAAACTAAAAACATGGCCATAATACGGGACCAACATCAGCAACAACGGCGGAACGTAATTATAAGTGACATCATTTGAAAATGTTTCAAAATTTAAGTTTCTAGGAACAACAGTAACAAATAGAAATGAGGTCCTTGATGAAATTAAGAGTAGAATTCATTCAGGGAAATCTTGTTTTTATTCTATTCAAAAACTGTTATCATCCAGAACACTAAAGATCGGGATATATAAAACAATAATTTTGCCTGTTGTCTTGTATGGTTCTGAAACATGGTCTCTTACCTTGAAGGAAGAACGTAGATTACAAGAGTTTGAAAATAAAGTTACTCAGGAAGATATTTGGACCCAGAAAGGATGATATAAGTGGGGAATTTAGAATATTGAGTAACGAGGAACTGCTTGAATTGAACAGGTCACCGTGCATAGTGAGGATAATGACATCTAAGAGTCTCCGATGGGCTGGGCATATAGCACGCATGGGGAGCAAGGTGTGCATACAGGAATTGGTAGGGAATCCTTCTGGAAAACAAACACTGGGCAGACCAAGAAGGAAATGGGAGGATAACATCAAGATTTATCTTAGGGAGGTGAGCTGTGAGGATGTTAAATAGATTAAGTTGGCTCAGGATCGTGTCCGATGGTGGGATTTAGTGTTGTCGGTGTTGGACCTGCGGATTCTGCTACCAGGAAGTGTTAGTTTAATAATATAAAATGCATCTTCGTTTACGCGTTAACATACGGGATTCGTCTGGAGAATGGCATGCATTCTGGTCGAGATGCGACATTTTATTGCTTGCAAAGTTGAAAATAAAAATGTCACACTTTTAATAAGTGAACTGAGTTACGATTGTATCAAGACTCGTACTTGAAGACTTAAAAGAAAAGGCAAAAATTCATACGTGTCCGAATACTCCAAAGAGGCTGGCACCGGAGTTCTGTTAGTAAAAACACGAAGTCGCCAAAGGCACTCACGTTCTGCCCGCAGCGGACACGTAAGAGCTAATGAAAGATCAACGCTTTTCGCTGCATTCCACAACGCGGAATCGCTTGGGACGTCCTGTATAACAACAGCTCTCACTAAACCTTGTTTATGATCCGGAAGGCATCTGTAGCGATACACCAAAAGGCCAACAAACTTAACAGACCGATTACCAGGACAGAATAACACACACACTGAATAAGCAAGCACGAAATTTGTCCTTTGCATCAGCACACAGTGACGATGGTTCGGAAATGTATCTTATCTACATGTAAGGACGCATACAAATGTCTGTTACATATTAAAAGCTATTTTCGTGATATGTTCTTTACTTGGCATGTACCTTAAATCAAAACTGAGAGATACATTAAACCTTCTTGCAAATATCAGAGGTTTCAGATTCCCAAAACTGTTAAGACGTCAATGTTGTTCTTCCGGGTTGTAATGCCATCTGGACTTATAGGCAGGTACTAAAGTTTCGGAGAGACAGTGACCTCCACCTCCAGTCATGAAGATAGAGGTATCGCTGAAAAGTCGGTGTGTACTGACGAGTCTACACGGCGTCGCAGCCCACAAGAACACCATCGACGAGAATGGAAAATTTTAAACACGGAAGTCGAATTCAAGAGCGTCACTGTCGCTAAGCCATGAGAAATGTTCTTTACGTCACGATCAGCTGATGTAGTGGGATAACATGTTTGATCAGCGTAGATACACAACTGCTTTTGAATACTTTAAAAGTGGAAAGTTATTTAATGAAATGATTTGCTTGAACAAATTATTATTTGAAACGCGGGTAAAAATAAAATTTATTTTATCATTGAAATAAGTGTGTTTTTACACTTTACTTATCTTTTAATACTTTCAAGTGAAATAGCATGCACAATGATTACTGGATGGTGGATAGTTCAAAATATGGGGTTAAATGAGAGGTGAATCATAATTTTAAAATTCCTCTTTGTGATAAAAGTTCAAGAATTTGAAGGATACAGTTGAATAAAACCTTTGTGTTCCTAAGTTGATATAATTGCGTCATATTGTGAATTAAAATTTAATTATTCGTGTTTTTTCCGTCTAATCACAATTGTATATAAATAAAATTATACATAAGATATTAAAATATCATTTACATATTTGGTACAACTGTTTATTTTAAAAAGTTGTACCAAATATGTAAATGATATTTTAATATCTTATGTATAATTTTATTTATATACAATTGTGATTAGACGGAAAAAAAACACGAATAATTAAACTTTGTGTTCCTGTTAATTAACTTTATACATAAACTACAAACGAAACACGTTTCTTACAATCTATTTCTACTGCCAGAATGTAGTTACGAAAGAACTCATGAAAAGTTTGAAATTTTACATTCTTACAATGTTTGGTAAATTTATAGCTTTTGCTTCTATGAAAGGCGTTGGAAAAATTAATATGCATGTAGACAATGCAATCTCAGTCTTTCTGTGTTTTCCTCCCAGACATCCATTTAAATCAAATTTATTGTAAATCCCGTAAGTGTACGTTGTAACAAAATTACGCAGAAAGAAACAGAATTCGTGCAAAATCACAAGAATACAAATATTCCCTAAGACAGCATAAGGCGAAGCCCTAGAGACGAAATGTAAGAGGCTTAGACATGACGGCGGGGTAAAGCTAATTATCGTTAAAGCGAGCTGCCGTACAGTTAGTGATAACTAATAAAGGACATCATCACTTACCCTGATGGAGGCCATGTTTATGGTACACAGAGAACTGGAAATACTCGAAATTCGTCACATGTAAACGTGTGCAAATTTGACAAAATCCTTTGTCCTGAAATATAGTTATGGCAAAGAATGGGCTTTGTACGAAAACAGAGAGACTGATTGGCTGAATGACACACGTGATGTGATTTGGATTTTAAAAACCTTGAATAAGTAAGATTTGAGTTTCTCACGGCCGTGAGTACGAAGATTTCTGTCTTCTTTGTTTCTTCGTGTAGTCTGGTAGAATTTTATAAGTTTATGCCAGTGTTTCAGAGGTCCTTGCAGCAAAGCACTCTGAAACGTCGGTAAACGTCTACGCGGCGCTACAACCCAGAAGACAGACATCTTGCAACTTTGCACAAGTTCTGAAGATGAAACAGTGTGTTCATCTGGAACGTTGGTTTCTGTCTAAGTCCACGAACCGTTGCAGCTAGGGTTTATACAAAAACCGACTTTTGAAAAAACCGGTTTTTGAATTCCAGTATTTCCGAAAAACCGGTTTTCGAATTTTTACAAAAAAAATTAAAATTAGTAAAAAAAATATTTATACTTATTTTAAAAAAAATCAGTTTATTTAATATTTATGGAACTACAAAAATATAATAAAATAAAATATACTTCATACAAAATCAAATAAAAAACTAAAATAACTAAAATCCGTACAAAATACAAATTATAAATTTTTATTTCATTTAGCATTTTCCTTCAGGAAATTTGATTTCAGAAAACATAAAACCCTAGTTGCAGCGCACAAGACCAACATCAACATCTTCGCCGTCGTGAGGACCTCAGATCTCAAGCTGGAGAGCATTTGCGCGCCTCGAAGAGTACAGAACGTAAGGACAGGTTACATTTACATTACGAATTTATTTCACCGCGTCGTATTATATTTTCAGTTCTGAAGAAGCAAATGAACCGAATATGTTAACCGACGTCGTTTTTTTTTAAATTACGAACTAAGATATTTAACTGGCGGCTTTGGATTTGATCCACATTATAACAATCCCTTAACATTTTAGAGTTAATAAAGCCATATTCTGATATTCAATGCAGATGGACCAATATCATGGAATACAAGAATAAATTGTGTAGGCGACATGACTGAAATTTTAGCAGCAATAGAGTGAAGAGTTTACACGTTGAGTTTGCTGACATAAAACCTCCCCCAGAAATATGTCATACGAGAATAGTTTTGCCATTTGAGATCCTGATGAGAGAAGTATGCTCGTCAGGACAACGAAACAGAGGAGAGGAGAGGAGAGGAAAAGATAAACATCAATAAAGAAGAATACAGATAAAGGTTGAGGAGACAACATAGATTTATTGTAATGTATGTATATAAGATAGCCACGGTGGTCTAGCGGTTAGAATTTCTAACTTGTGTTGGGCAAGGCCGTGGCCTAGGCAACACGGAGTTTTCCTCATTGGCATCCCAACAATTACTCCATTCCCACACAGAAGAAGGCAATGGCAAACCACTTCTGGATCATCTGCCAAGAACGTATATGAACAGGTCCCAGTCCGAGAAGAGAAAAGGATGGAAGGATCCTGTTCATATGGACCTGTCGTCAGACAGAACACTAAATAAATAATAAAAAAATCTATATAAGAATTGAAAATTTATTTATTTATAAAAACACCAGTTAACAAAAACAAATTTCCTTCTGAAGATTCCGTCTGACAGAACACATTTTGGGTGGGACTTGACGTTTCCGACATCATGTCTTCACCTTCAACCCAACTGGAGTCTTCTTTCAGGGAAACATTCCTCGTGTGTTGAGGTCGCTGTTCAGTTATTCCCCCGAAGCAACTGCTTACAGGCATTACGCTTACCCTGTAATGTCTGCTCATTTCTTTCGAAACGGTGTGCGCCTGTCTTGTGTTAGGGAGTGTTTTTGGTTTGTTGTGAGGCTCGCCCCCGGCCGTGCCAATAGACGCATAAGAAACCTGAAATAAAACAATTAAATACTTTCCTTAAAGTTCCAACTTGCACTGGCCTGCGAAGTCAGTCTTGCTACAGATACACTGCTCAGAGTCAGAGATTAATAAGTGTTCGCTCTTGTTTGATTAAATCTGCGGTCACGCTGATTAAATTTCGAAATGAAAGCTACAGATCTCAATTATATCCTGTAGCGATTTGGACAGATACATTTCTAAAATATGAACCAACAGTCTGATGAATATAATGCAGGGCGATCGACCTGATGATGGAGGCAGCAAGGACCTCTGAAATACTGGTCAACTTCTACCAGTCTACACGGGGCAACAACCCAGAAGACAGCCATCTTCGGACTCATCCCTAATGTCAATACAGCACTGGGCCACGTGTAATACGTTCCTTGAATTGAAATCAATCTGTTTTATTCTTTGTTTAAGAGATGATAAAGTTGCGTCATATTGTGATAAATATATATTTGTTTAAATCTTGTCAGTCTAATCACAATAAAATTCCTATTAAATATTAAAATATTACTATAATTAACATTTAAATATTTAAAATATATTAAATTCTTCCAGATTTTATTGTATTTTAATATCGTATTCGAAGTTGTTCTGTATATGTACGTCGTGCTTAACATGATTTTGTGTGGGTGAACGTTTTGTTGTTGTTTTTAACAGCCAGAAATGAAGTTGTGGAGGAGTTACGTCCGTCTGGAAGTATTGCCGTGTTTGAGCTGTTTTATTCTGTTAATCTCTGTGAAATGTTCCTATTGTAGGTGGCGAAATAAGAGGTCTCATCTGTGCCTAAGTGAACAAACAAGCTTCACCTTGTACCCGGTGCCACTGGGCAGTCAGTACGCACGTGGAGTACTCACGGTAAGTTCTGCAGTGCGTAGCCGTTGGGCTTCTTGTTGATCCTGCACCGTCCGTTGTTGTCCCTCCAGGACCCAGGCCTGCAGCGTCGCGAACTTCCAACGGGCTTCTGGTCGCTTCCCTCCGGCCCACTTGTGGTTGTCAGATCCGATAAGACGGTCGTACTCGTGGGAGACGTGTTAGTTGCCGTTGACGGTTTCTGTGGTTCACTTGGCGTCAATTCCTCTGGATCTTCGTAGTCATAACTGTAGTCGTACTGCTGTAAGAGGCAGGAACTCGTGACAATGGTCTTCATTCTACGTGATGTAGATACTGTTATAAATCCGGAAAGTTCGTAACCGCCATTACAAATTTCTGAGACTGATGCCATATCATATCATTTCTCTGAGCGTCATTTTAATATTGTCCCCCGGTCAAAGCTTAGACGTATAAACGGTTCCTTGAACTCAGGTAATCCAACAAAAATTTATTCAATACGTCATTTATCACAAATTTACAAATTTTTAGCTTCAAATTGTACGTGTGAGCTTTTTTATAAACACAAACGTACGTGAGCTCCATCGGTGGCGCCCTCCGCTGTAATGTACCGGTGAATGCCGCGCTGCTGTCACGCGCATGCGCGAATAATAAATATACATACCAAATTTTAGCAATTTTTTCGCACCCTTACACAGATCATCAACAGCTGAAATTTTGTGTACAATCATTAATACATGGGCTCTGTAGATGAACAAAATTTCAGGTGAGGTTTCGGCATGACCAACCTAACCATTCCCTCGTCAGGCGCAATTATACCGTCGCCAAAGTTCTTTAAAAAATATAAACATTTTCATTTTATTTCACTTTTATGTGGACCAACTGCTGTATGTAACCCAATTCCTATTTTAGAATGATTCTCTAAAGTTACATACATCACTGTGATCCACTAATTTAATAAGTTCGATTCCTATTGTAGAATTGACTAATTAATATGACGTCGATTTAGGCCCAGCAGATTTATGCAGTGTGAAATTTATTCTGTCGACGTACGGCCATTAATCCACGTCCTAATTCAGAATAGTCTAATTAATACGTAATCGAAGCAGACCAGTTCCCAAATTTCTGGAGTGTTACGCCTTGCAGTCTGGTAGACCTTTACCGATGTTTCTCAAGTACTTGCTGCCTCCATCTTCAAGGCTGAATATACATCTACCGGCAAGTCCAAACGGCGTCCAGAAGTCCAAACGTAGTCACCTCCACTACTGTGAGAACTTCAAATCTTAAAACCCTTTAGTTGTACGGAGGGAACACTGAACAGAGTCCATTGAAATCCCTTTAATTCAACCCTGAAGATGGAGACAGCATGTTTCTCCGAAGCGTTTGAACCCACGTACAAGTTCACGCGGTGTCTGAACCGGATGCGCGTACTGCGTTCGAAGGAGCTCACTCACCCCGTACGCTCCGTCCAAAAAGGCCACAACGCTCACGTTCTTGACGTGAACGTGAACGTTGAGTTCCCCCGTCTGTCGCTGGTCGTACGTTGCTAGGTCCTCGGCGTCTGTCAGCACGACGGTCGCTAAGGCCAAGCACGCCATCACACTCCCTCTCCACGCTTCCATCCTCAGGACACCTGCAACCAGTTTCCCAGGTCTCACTCAACTGAAGTAGTTATTTTCGTCGAATTTTAGAATCATTTGAAATTATATATGAAAAGAACGTCGAAGGAAATCGTGTTGGCGAGGTTCATATAAGCGATTATGAAAATGGTCACGTCAGGAGAGCGAACCCAGGGATTCCCGAGACATCTCGGCTTTCTGAGGAAATATCTGCAGGGAAAAGTGACACGCACGTTTACTGAGAAGACTGAGGAGTGGTCGATTCCATAATTTGTACTCCTCACAAGATATGCAACGCGCATTGGGAGATGATAGCCCAGTAGACGGCGAGAGATTAATTGATTAAGAACAATAAGTAAAGTTTGAAATGCTAATTGATAATGGCGAAGATCACTGATGCACACTGGAATGGCACGTCATGACCATGGCCAGCGTCAGAGTTCAAAGTGCAAGTAATAGTTGTAACTAAATTTCTTTAATTTTTTAAAAAAAACTTATGTTGCAGTCTTTGTTAAGAACTTATTTGCAATGTCTCTGTCTAACTGGGTAAAAGGCGAAAATGTGGTTCCTAAACCATTAATAATAGAATCTGTTTATCTTTGATTAACTCAAATCGCCTTCTAGGAATGTTTATAGTGCAGTTCAAGGTCAGAGATAGCCATGCTGTAAGTGTGGTTCAGTCTATTCGTTTATGAACAGTGTTAACGGCGTAAAGATGTATTTTCCACTAAAGATCTGCAAGATTGAGTACATTTGGGGTCAGAAGTGGCAAATCTTCATTCATCTTCAGTTGGCTACCAGGTGTGGCAAAACTCTTTGCCACAATGGGATGTGTAAGAGTGGATCGAAATGCTTACAAGCAGCCGAATTACCCTAATTGCCGCAAGACTAAACACCGAAGTTGTTTCGTCCTTGTTGCAAACGTCTTGTGTGGCAGTCATCCTTATACAGCTGAACCACACTCGCAGCATGCATCTTTCCAACCTTCAGCCACAGTATGACCAGGCGTCATCAGGGTAGCCAATTACACAACGAAAATGTCCCAATAGTTCTTTAACTTTTTAAATTACTCTCTCGGTCATGACCTTCTCTATATGAAATGCAATATGCAGCCAAAAGACGTTAGATAGCAGCACCATTTCACCCTCAGCCAATCCATAATGGCCGGAGTATCAGGTTGACGTTAGGCAGAACGGCTTACCAGGATAGATGGAACCAGGGAACATTCCAATGACTAAATACATTAGAATAAAAGTATTTGGTTAAATTATCAATGAAATATATTGCGCTATAACATGCTCATATCTGATTCTTAGAATTCCGCTGTCATAAAGAAAAATACAGGCAGATAAAGCATTGGAAATTAATTCAATCGGAATATCACATTCACAGGATACAACTTAATACTTGAGCGAGCGTCAGGACAAGGAAATTACGTCGTATCGAAATGCATATAACAGTACACAAAAGTTCACCGAACAACATTGTTTTATGGCGTATAAATCCCACTAGGACACAGGTATATTTTAACATAAAACACTAAAACACGTTGGATAAGACTCGATAATTTTAAGTTTAATATAAATTCAAGTAGGCTTATAGAAAGATCAATGTATTCATTACGAAGAAGCTTTAATATACGACGTAGGCTTACAGGCCTTTAGATGCTTGCATTTTTGGTAAACACGTGACAGGAAAGTATTGAAGGTGTTATGTTGACTTAATATCTGATTAACTGAGACGCTTGGAAAAATAAATTCATTTTTTTTTCAAATAAACAAAACCTTATAGATAATATTCTTACAATACGCTAATCCACACTTTTTTAAATCTAGAAAAAAAAAATGAAGATAAATTTAAACATGATTACTTTAATTCGACGTTGTACACGCATTTAAGTATAACAGAGAGTTTGTGGGGCTTAACCGCGCCTTATTATAAAAATTGATGGCGCTGGGGGCTTAACCGCGCCTTATTATAAAAACTGATGGCGATACTACAAAATTTGTCATTATTCTAGCTTCCAGAGCTTCAATTCTTAGTAAATCCGCAACATTTACAATCTGTAAAGAAATTAGATAACAAGAAAGGGGCAGATAAAAGTGAAAGTAACGCAGGCCCTGATTCTGCCCCAGAAGTACTGTTGTTATGTTTCGAAGTTGGCAGTTCTGCCGTGGTTATGGCGCTCGTTCATACACAGAACGATACGTACCTGTTACGGATTTCACTGCAGTTGAGCGCACTCTCTACGTTTCAGCCAAATAACGGCAATGAGCCCTCTGACATCTAGAAGTCTAGTTGTCGAAGAACGTGAGATGGGCTAATAATTCACCACACGTTTTCGTTTCCACTTTTCCCCGTGTTCTTACTCTCTTCTTTTAATCTCAAGTAGCACAGCGTTAGTGTCCCAGGAACTGTGGTAACTCGTTCTCACAGACGGGTTCTTCCAACGCTGTGACCCGCTCAGCTTGAGGCATCCAGGGTTCAATGACAGACCAACAGCAGCGCCGAACGAAACTTTTTTGAAGCAGACTTGAGACGCGAATCTATTTTATAACAAGCAGGAAGGTGCATCTGCTCTGCGTCCATAAAGAATGCCTCGTGTGTTTAATTTACTGCACCATTGCGCACAGGTGTAACATGATGACCGGTCATTGCTCCAGCGAAGCGGAAGAAGGTTTCGTTTTCCGAGGTGAAACATCGCGGAGTCACAGTATCACATATAACTATCGTACAATGCCTCAAAACCCGTTGTCTTGAATCTGGCATTTTCCTAGAATTTGTTCAGCGATGGAACAACAGTGCCAACAGCTATTACGCACTCGACATTAAACACGGAGGAAAAACCAACAACAAAAGAAAACTGCAATTTTATCGTTGTAGACGCTTTCGATGTTGTTTCCGTGACGTCACAATTAAAAACCTGTGCTGCCATCATACTGAGCTATAAGTGGGAGTTACTGGCATCTCGCGGCGAAATACTGAGTGACAAATTTGACCACACCTGCAATTTTAGTGCGTTGTAATAAGAGAACGTGGTGAAGACCTGCTCTAACAGATTACTATTTCAATTGTGTCGCACAGCGTGGCCCCAACGATCTCCTACTTTGTTTTGAATTATATTCGATCTGTCTCAACAAGAGAAAGCCAGGATTCATGTCTGTTTGCATTTTATCCATCCATCACTCACTGTCAGTCACAGCTAATTTAAAGAACCCTCCGTATTACACACGTGCATTAGTAACGAACGAAAATTAAAGTTTAAATGACACTCGACACACACCGACTAAATACCAAATCATTCTGTGTACTAAAATTGTGTTACAACGACCGTGAGAGGGGTTTGAATTGCAACATTTCTAGTTGTGAGCCTTCTATAACTCACAGAATGAAATAATTATCTGTACAGAAGATTCCAAAGCGTGTTTACACTAATTCAATCTCGTAAATCTTGTCTTTCTCGTAACTCGATCGCCATGCTGAATGCAGCGGTCGTCTGAGGTACTATTCAGTGTTGCTGGAAGCACTTACCGACCCGAGAAAACAAAGTAGCAAGGTTTGTCGAAGCGAACAGCTTTATGGATCCACGATCGTAAGTCAAATGTGACTTCTGGTCCGGGAATTGACTATCAGCGAAGCTGTAAGATCTGTATCAAATACAGTTGGTTTCAAACATGGCGGCGATTTAACGCAGCCAATGATCGTCTGACTTGACTAGACGAAGGCGCCACCCGAGCGATGCGGGAAAATTATAAAATTAAGTTCTAACGGAAGCGGCTGTGGTGGGGTCCGCTGCTGCTAGCGAAGATGGGGTTGCAATAAATATCGCATTGCCGTTCAACACAAAGCGTTTTCATTCGCGTTTAACTCTGTCAAATGATAGGCCCATTTCTACGAACATTTGTTTAGGTAAGTTCCCTAGCAAGGTTTTCGATGCGGAAGGATTCACTGGACACGGGCAATGTAGTGCACAGTGATCTGTTCTTGAGTACTCAAACTTCGCTCGGTCTTGTTTTAATGTCTTTGTTGCAGTTTTTTTTATTCTACAGTACGTCACACCCCACCCGAGAGACAACTCTGTCTTTTTAAGAATATAACTTACAAGTTGTCATAGAATATATAAATAGGAAAAGGCGATTTCAAACAAAAACCAGCGCGAAAAGGATTAAAGTATGGGTCTTCAGTCGAAGACCTATACACAGTCAGCCTTTCTATCGACCGGCGAGCCGGACAGATGCTGCTGACTTTTTTTCAGGTAAGTTCACATGTTATTCGTTAACATTCTTCAAAACAATCAGCGTTCAATGATATACTAGAAACTGTTTTTTTGCTTGTAACAGTTTATTTAGTTATTCTGACTCGATTTTCAAACTACAACTTTATTGTTGATCTAGATCGATTAGTTCTTAGTGAGCTTTTGTGGGTTTTTTCCCTCTGTATAACCCCCCCACCCCTTACATTTATTATAAGTACAGCACTGTTTTGCTCCTTTGTCCCTTGGTTTGGGTCTTAGTCACAATAAAGGGCAGACAGTCGTGCATATGTGTACTGGCGTTGTCCTGAGTAAACATGATCCCTTTGCAGCGTGCTTTTATGGCTTCCATAAAAGTACAGTCATGGAAACGAAAAGAATGTAACACCAGCCAAAAATTCAGTACATTAAAGATGAAGCGAAAATACTTCGATTTTTATCGATCAGATTCGCTCGCAAAACATCGCCCAGAAGCGTCTGTCCTCTTATCTTCTGCAGTGTCGCACGTTTCACCAAAGACGAAAAAGAAACCAATTTGAACTGCACAGAAAATGAGACATTTATTACCGCGAAGGCTCCTGCTCACGACACCATAACCTCAAAGTCTACGAAAGAACAAAAATGTTCTTATCTTTGTCGAAAGGAAGGGGAGAGGGGGAGAGATTTTCTCCTCCACACCACCACATCGTGAAGATATGCTCGACAATGAGCAGAAAGTCCCGCAAGACGACAAAAAGCTGAGGAGGAAAGTATAATAACAGTTGAAACGCGAGGTGTCTGCAGGTTCGACCAACCTCTCGAAAGATCGATCGATGCTCAGATGTTTACAGCGAGGCCTCGAAAGATAGCGCTGATTCTCCCTGTTTGTAGATTATCTGATGACCTTATAAAAC